TTCTAGGATATACCCTTTGGTTGGTTGATGATGCATGGAGGGGATTGGAACCATGGCAATGAAATGATATACGATGGAATGAATGTAAGATTAAAGTTCTCTCATGTAAACTATATAATTCACAATAAAGCATTAAAAAAAAAAAAAAAGAAGATGAACCAGATGAAGTTGAACATTTCAGGGTAGCAGATCATCAAGAACAAATGATAGTGAAGGAAGAAGTCCAAACTATACTAAAGCAATGATGAAACACAAAGCTCCAGTCATTAACAGACTACCAACTGAGGTATTCCAATGAACAGATACAACACTCAGTTATCTATGCCCAAAATTTGGAAGACAGCTGTCTGGCCAACTGACATATTTGTGCCCATTCCAAAGAAAGGAGATCCAACAGAATATGGAAATTGTTGAACAATATCATTAATATCACTCCTAAGTAAAATTTTACTGAAGGTAATTCAAAAACAGTTGTAGCAGTACATCAGTAGGGAACTGCCAGAAATTTAAAGGGAATTCAGAAGAGGATGTAAAAGAAGGATATTATTGCTGATGTCAGATGGCTCTTGGCTAAAAGTAGAGAATATCAAGATGTTTACCTGTGTTTTATTGACTATACAAAGGCATTCTACTGTGCAGATCATAACAAATTATGGATAGTATTAGGAAAAATTTGAATTGCAGAGCACTTCATTGTGTTCATGTAGAACCTGTACACAGAGACCAAGAGGCAGTCATTTAAACAGAAGAATGGGATAAGGCACGTGCATGATTTAAAATCAGGAAAGGTATACATCCGGGTTGTGTCCTTTCACTGTGCTTATTCAATCTGTATGGGAAACAAATAATCCAAGAAGCTGGACTATATGACGAAGAACCAAGAACTCAGCGTCAAGATCAGAGAGAGATTCATTGAAAACCTGTGATCTGCAGATGACACTACTTTACTTTCTGGAAGTGAAATGTACTTGAAGTACTTACTGATTAAAGACTGTAGTCTTCAGTATGGATTGTACCACAACATAAAAAAAATAAAAATTCTCAAAACTGGACCAGTAAACATAATGATAAATGGGGGAAAGATTAAAGTTATCAAGGATTTCATTTGATTCGGATCCACAGTCATTGTCCATGGAAGCAGCAATCAAGAAACCAAACGACGAATTTCACTGGGCAAGTCTGCTGCAAAAGATCTCTTTAGAGTGATTAAAGTGTAAAAATGTCACTTTGAGGACTAAAGTTTGCCTGACCCAAGTCATGGCATTAAATTGCTTCATATGAATGCAAAAGCTGGATGACAAAGGAAGACTGAAGAAGAATTGATGAATTTGAATTATGGTGTTAGTGAAGAATACTGAATATGCCATGGAATGGTAGAAGAACCAACAAATCTGTCTTGGAAAAAGTGTAGCCAGAGTGCTCCTTAGTGAGACTGTCTCACTGAATTTGAACATATTATCAAAAGGGGCCAGTCCTGGAGAAGGACTCGGTATAGGGTCAGCGAAAAAGAGGGTGACCCTCAGTGAGATGAAATGACACAATGGCTGTTGTTGTTAAGTGCCATCAAGTCGGTTCTCACTCACAGTGACCTTAGGCTTTCAATCTTTGCAACAATGGGTTCAAGCATTGCAGTGATTGTGAGGATGCTACAGAATTGGGCAGTTTCTTTTGCTGTACATTGGGTCACTATGAGTCAGAACTAACTTGTTGTTGTTATGTGCTGTCGAGTCGGTTCCAACCCATAGCGACCCTGTACAGGGTTTCCAAGGCTGTAAATCTTTACGGAAGCAGAAAAGCCTCATCTTTCCCCGGTAGCACCTAATAACAACAACAACAACAGACGTTTTTATAACCTGTTCTGGAAAATATGCATTGTACACTTACTGTGGCTATGGTTATAAATCTTTGCAGCCTGCCAAAGCATATCTAAGCATTTATATCCAATGGAAAGTTTTCCCTCCTTTAAAGCTCCCTTTCTTTTGCCTCAATGGAATAGTAACCAGTCAATGGGTTTATTGTAATTTTTTTTGTTTCTTGCCTTATACATGTCCCCATTTGGGACCCTCTTATCTGAAATTGCCTTGTTTTCACTTACATAAACTGGTAGTCTCCTATTCAAATTTCTCCCTAGTGCTGAAAAAAAAATCCTCTATATTTCCATTTATTGACTGAGTGAGTTTCCCTATGACAACATTCACTAATGCTGCTAATCTAGTGGCTTTTACATGAAATTACTGCTGCTCATGTGTCAGTTAAAAACTGGAGTATAAGGCCTAAAATCTTATAACGATGCCCACAGTATCAGGATAGAGATTGGCCTGTGAATCCTGTGAAATAAATGTAAACCCAGAGTAAGCTCATAGCGTGTTGTTGTTGTTAAGTGCCATCAAGTCAGTTCTTACTCACAGTGCCCTTAGGCTTTCAATCTTTGCAGGAGAAGAAAGCCTCAGCTAGTAAGCTCAAACAGCAGACCTTGTGGTATGCAGTCCAGTGCTTTTTGTGTGCGATAACTCCTTATATGCGATAACATGATCCAAAACGCAGGAAGGAGGATAAGGAGTAGTATAGCAAGGGCTTGGTTTGGGATCATTGCTGTGCGTTGCACATAAACCATAATACCAAGGGTTGCTTAATACTTCATTTCTTAGATACAGAATCAGAAGTACTGACCTAGGATAGTAATATGTCCCTGTTTATGCTAGTCTCTGACTTGTTACTTCACCACACTTGTTACTTCCCTTAATGTTACCCAAACCTCTAAACACAGTCTCATCGTTAAATTCTCTTTAATTAACCTTTTTTTTAGTATGTCACCTGTTTCTTTTTAAAATCAGTGCAAATTGAGAGTAGGTAATCAAATGTCACTTCCTACAAGGAAATTTCCCTTACCTTCCAGTTACTCCATACAACTCCCTGATCCTCACACCTACCCTTAATAAAGCAGATTCAGGAGGTCCCCTCTCTAGGCTACCACAATAGCCTCTAGTGTTGCAGGTTTGTACTGGAGTTTCACTATCTGTTAGTTCATCTTCCTCTCTCTTAGAGAGAAACTCTGGATTTTAGTTGAATTGGAATCCCTGGAGCTGTGCGTGGGACCGCTATGTATAAGTTACTCAATGAAGTTTATTGAGTTAACTACTTCTCAGAGCATGTGAGAAAAGCCTTAAAGGACTTGGACTTCCAGGTAGAGCTCTTACGAATCTCAGTGGTGAGTCAGGTGGCAGCCTGCAATCCCATGAGAAGTAACCTTGACTTTGAGAATGATGACTCTAGCCTCATACAAATAGCCATTTGAACAGCCCAGAGGAGCCTCCATGCAAAAGCCCTTCTTCATCTCATTTGACCCATGAGTCCCGAGGAAAAGGAAGTTCACTTGCCTGATGAAAAAGGAATAAAGTAGTCACTCTTCTTAAAGTTTCCACTTTCATCAAGGAAGTGGCCGGGGTCAAACTGCTTTGGATTTGGAAATTCTTTGTCATCATGCAAGACAGAAGTTAGAGACGACAGTATGTTTGTGCCCTGATAGAAACAGAAACAAATCAAATAGATTATAAAAACCAGTAAACTTGAAAAAAAAAAAAATGAGAAATCACTCCTCTAAACCTTTTGCTTTATAGATGAGGAATTTGAAGCACAGAAAGAGAATTTATTTGCCCCACATCACAGAGAAAATTAATGAGCAAGCCCAGAAGGCCTTAAGCCATGGAATGCCCACTCCATGGAACTGTTCAGTGACTCCAAGGCATACTCACCAGTCTGTAGTTTGATGCCAGCACTTGCTTTGCCTAAAACCAAGGAAACTCCCTGGGGTACATTTTCCAGGATATATTTCAGCATTGTGTAATAGGGCTGATGTCATTGAAACTTCAGCTCATTGACTTTGAAACCATGTATGTATGTGTGAGACCCTCTGCAAAAATTGAGTAGTTGCTTCACTTTTCTATCAAGTTGAGTTGTCACATGTTTTTGTGGAGAGAAGAAAGTATTTCTGGCATCTAGTAGGGTTTTCTAGGTCCCTCAATAGCACAAATTACTTGCACTTGATTATAAATTGAAAATTTGGTGGTTCAAACTCTCCCAGAGTTGCCTTAGGAGATAGACAGATCTGACTATTTGCTTTCAGAGCCTTGTAAACCTATGGAACACATCTACTTTGTACGCATAGGATCACCATGAGTCAGAATGAAATTCGTGGTAACTAACAACAGCTACTTACTTACCTGAAGATCGTCTGTTTGAACATGCCCAGCAGTCTTGTGACTGTCAAGAAAACTGTTTTTTCTTTTTTAGAGAAAATAGAACAGTATTCTATTCTGTAACACATGTTGTTGTTGTTTTTGTTGCTGTTGTTAAGTACTGTGGAGTCGGTTCTGACTCATAGTGACCCTGCACAGGGTTTCCGAGGCTATAAATCTTTACAGGAGCAGAAAGCCTTATCTTTCTCCTGCGGAACAGCTGGTAGTTTCGAACTGCCGACCTTGTGGTTAGCAGCCCAATTCGTAACCAATACGCTACCAGAGCTCCTTCTGTAACACATAAGAGTGTCCTAAGTCAGAATTGACTCAACAGCAAGAAGTTCAGTTTGGTTTTGATTTGCTTGTAGGATTTTTCTAAATATGCGTAAGAAATGATTTAGAGTTTGGGGTTCAGAATCATTTAAATAATTCTATCAAATTAAGCTCTGTGACCATGTTAAATTGTTTAACATTTCAGTGACTTAATTTTATCATTAGCAATTTACAAACAATACATTTACATAGATTAATTGTAAATATAAAACGAGATCATACATGAAATACTTTTTACAGAAAGAGTCCTACATGCAAAACTGCTCAATATAAAGAGATTTAGTTACTGTGTTGTTGTTTAGTGCCATGAAGTCAGTTCTGACTCATAGACACCCTATATAGGGTTTCCAAGGAGCAACGGGTGGGTTTGAACTGACAATCTTGTGGTTTGCAGTGCAGTGCTGATCCTATAGTGCCATAACAGGACTCTTAGTTACTGTTGTTGTTGTAATTAAGTGCCGTCGAGTTGATTCTGACTCATAGCGACCCTGTATAGGGCTTCTGAGGAGCGACTGGTGAGCTTGAACCACCGACCTTGTGGTTCAAATGACCTTGCAGTCCAGTGCATTAACCCACAGTGCCACTAAAAATTCCATCCACAATACTTAATAAAGTCTTAATAACAGCCAGACATTTACAATGTGAAAGATACAAAGTCCCAGCTGAACACTTCCCAGTATACTGTACGGCCTCTACAAACGTATGATGTAGTTCTCATTCCAGAAGCTCAGGGGAGAAGGCATAGACAATCATTTTCATGGGGACAAATGAAAGAGAAAATCAAATATCTGTCCCTCCTGACTTTCATCTTGTAACACAGCCCATCTTTTTTTTCTCTCTGTCTCTCTTTCCTTTTTAACAGAGTTACTCTTATGACTCATTCTCTGGCCTTGATGAACATGATCTCAGAATGATGTGCCAGAAGATATTGTGGTCAGTCCTTGAAAAGGTATTTATATTAACTTAATTTATGACAAAACAATTCTCCAGACTAGTGCAAATGTCTGCATCTAGCTATCTCAGGGAATAACAAATGAATTTATGGTTTTCTGCAATGAACAAGAAGCAATCAAGGACTTTGATACTTTATAAAAGAGAATGGTACACTCACCCTAAGGCACTCTAGAGGTGCAAAAGGTTAAGAGCTCAAGTGCTAACTGAACCACCCAGAGGCTCTGCAGCAGAACAACCTGGTGATCTACTTCCGTAGAGATTAAGTCAAGACCCCCCTATGGGACTACTCTGCCACATGGGGGCACTATGAGTCAGAATCAACTTGACGGTACCTAATAACAATAGCAATAACACTTCTCCACAACTGGGTTTCTGCCTGGCAGCCCTTTCCTCTCCCAGACCCCGGAGTTGAGGAACAATCAGCCATGCTTTTACTGAGCTGAGAAGGCAGAGATCAAAATCTGGCACCTGGCATTGGTGAGGAACATACAGGACAGGAGAAATCTACAAATAGGGAGGATCTCAAAAGTGCACCAGAGTCTCCTTAGTTGCTCCATGACTATGGGTTGGATGGCAAATATAAAGAGAAATCCCATGAAACCTCTCACAATATGACTGCTGTGGAGTTGAGAACTGAAGATAGATGCCAGATATGCAGTACTAAAGATTGAAAATCTAACCCAGCTAGGGTGGAGAGAAAAGTCTTGGAAGCTCAGATATTCTGTGTTGTTGTTAAGTGTATGCCGTTGAGTCAGTTCTGAATCATAGCGGCCCTGAAGAGATTTCCAAGGAGTGGCTGATGGATTTGAACCACCAACCTTGTGGTCGAGTGCTAATAACAGAACACCACCCTCAAAATGCCAAATTGTTGGGCCAAGAAACCTATCTTGGAGTCATATTTGAGGATTAAATTAAAAATTAGCCTACAATTACAAAGAATTATACTAAGCCTAACAGAATGAAAAGCATCTGTTAGTAATTTAACTGCCAGCAAAAAATAAAAATGAACATCTTTTAAAGGAAGACACTATATCTAGTATTAATGTGGGACTTATAATTAAAGTGGAAAAGTCAATAGACCATACCCCAATATATTAAAATCATTAGCAAGAATTTTGAAGTAGATAATATGAATACATTCAAGTACTTAAAGGGACAATAAGTAATAATAAGGATATATATTGAATATAAGGAGCTCTGGTAGTGTAGTGGTTACAAATCGGGTTGTGAACCTCAAGGTCAGCAGTTCGAAACTACCAGCTGCTCCGTGGGAGAATGATGAGGCTTTCTGCGCCTGTAATGATTTACAGCCTCTGAAACCCTGTACAGGGTGGCTATGAGTCAAAACCAACTCCACAGCATATAACAACAACAACAAAGATTTACAGCCTTTGAAACCCTGTACAGGGTCGTTATGGGTCAGAACCGACTCCACAGCACACAGCAGCAGCAGCATATTGAATATATCAAAAGAAAAATGAAACCTAAAACATAAATTCTAAAAATAAAAAATAGAATAGCAGAAATGAAAACTCTGCTGGGTACAACTAGCATTGGATACCTCAACAAAAGGTGAGGGAACAGAGACATACGTACCTATCGGAAAATCACTTAGAATCTCCTATTGAAAAAACTCCTGGAGTGGCGCTGTAGGCTCATCACTGGGCTGTGAGCCACAAGGTAGGCAGTTCAAACCTAGCAGCTGCTTCTCAGAAACCCTATCTAGGGTCACTATGAGTTGGAACCAACTCAATGGCACGTAACAACAATAAAATCTTTATGGGAGCAGAAAACCTCATTTTTTTTCTGCAGAGCGACTGGTGGATTCAAACTGCTGACCTTGTGGTTAGCAACCCAACTTGTAACCCACTATGCTACTATGGCTCCTTATGCCACAGGTAGAAAGGTTTACTTTTAAATAGGAAAACCCTTCTTCCATAATACAGACAGATATAAAAAAGAAATCAAAGAGCTTACATAGAACTAAAATCTATAAATCTAATGGAAGGAAATTGTGTGACTTGGTTTCCAATAGCTGTGATTTTCTGTGAAGTGAAAGTTTAGATGATTACTGAAGAAAAAGAAGATGTTAAGAGTTAAGTCTGAAGTACTTCCAGGTTATAAGAGTCCTTATGGAGCATGGTGAGACATGCTGAGTTATGTTCTACAGCAGGATTATTGGAAAGGAATGAGAACACATTTGGGAGCTAGGGGACTGAAAATAATAGCAACACAATTGGGGTCTGTGATAATAATACTAACCTAGTGGGGTCCTTCCTAGCACACACCGGCAGAGAATGAGGACGTTGAGTGTTGAACTGGACTTTTGGCAAGTAAGTAAAATATTGGTGGAAAAGAACATAGGATTGTGTCTATGAGTAACATGTGGTAAAGTGATGACAGAGCTTGGCTAATAAATCATCAGAGTGTGGAGCTATCAATGGAAGAAAATCATGGAGAGGTCTAAGCACGACTATATTTGCAAAACTATGTCAACAAACTAGTTAGCATGTTGCCTGAAAATGAGATGCCTTGTTTATAATTGTGCTAGTATGACACTGTAGGATAAGCACTGGACCACAAGGTCAGTTTGAACCACCAGGTCAGTGGTTCAGACTCACCAGCTACTCTCAGAAACCCTTACAGGTCACTATGAGTCAGAACTGACTCAATGGTACTTACCAACAACAACAAATACCTGTAGAAGTTTAGATAATATATAATCATAAAACTGTGATAGTTGATGATCTAAGATTTCCAAAGAAGCCTGTAGATGAAATATCTCTCACCTTGGGAAGAAAATATTGTCTGAATTGAATGTCCTGGGTCACCGCATGGGGCAGACCCATGGGGACAAGATCAATGTATCTCTGGATCTCGTGCACCACAGCATCCGTGTAGGGCATGCTGCTCCTGTCCTTCATGCAGGGGCTCCGGTTTCTACCAACCACACGGTCAATCTCTTCGTGGACTTTATCTGGTAAGGCAAAAACCAGAATGAATGTGAAATAGAGTAGAATTGAAGTACCTTTGATTTGATCTCCTACTTGGTACATTGTGGGAAGTGAGAAAGGGAAATTATGTGTCACTACAGCCCTAAGGTGGAGTCCTGGTGTGGTATTGTGGGCTAATGAGTCAGACTGCAGTCATTTGACCTACAAGGTCGGTGGTTCAAGCTCATCAGCTGCTTCTTAGAAACCCTATACAGGGTCGCAATGGGTCAGAATCAACTCAATGGCACTTAACAACAACAGCGGCCCTCAGGTGGGGCTCTGAGTGACACAAATGATTTGACTTCAACTACTAACCCAAAGGTCAGCTGTTAAACCCCACCCAGCAGTACCATGGATAAAAGTCTAAGCGTCTCCTTCATACAGATTACAGTCAAGGAAACCCTATGGAGCAATTAGACTCAGTAACACACGGTATCACCATGACTTGGAATCAATTTGACAGAAATGCGTTTGCCTTTACTGCCATAAATGAAAAAATAAAACAGAATTTAAGTTTCTTTGGCAAATTCATTAGAGATGTCAGTGTATTTTCTTATAAGACACTGCTCTACCAGTAAATTCATTTCTCAACTCTGACACTCTATTGTGTGTACTTTTGTTTAATCAACTCAAAAGTCAGGAATCTTGAAGGGTCACTAATGATAATGTAGTTTAACAACTTTTTGGATGTCAGCTTTTGTTTTAGATGCGTGAATCCCAAGAGTGTAAGAACTACCCCATGCAAGTTTAAATGTACTGAAAGCACTTTAATGCAAAAAAACCTCCACAAAACAGCCTTTTATATGTTTTTACTGAGCAGACTCAATAAAAAGAAAGAGTACTTCAAAAAGTGGTCTTTACAAGAGAGCTATGTTTGTAAGGAAAAATTATGTATCCGAAAGGTATGTTGTTATTGTTAAGTGCCATCAAGTTGGTTCCGACCCATAATGACCCTGTATAGGGTTTCTGAGGAGTAGCTGATGAACTTGAACCACCGACCTTGCAGTTCAAACTGACATTGCAGTCCAGGCATTAACCCACAGTGCCATGTATATGTTGTTGCTGTTCTTGTTAAGTGTCATCGAGTCAGTTCCGACCCATGGCAACCCTGTATAGGATTTCCAAGGAGAAGCTGGTGGGCTTGAACCACTGACCTTGCAGTTCAAATGGCTTTGCATTCTGGCACATTAACCCACAGCACCACACCAGGACTCCATGCTATGTATATAGTTGGTTTTATTTTTTTAATTTGGGAAGTGATTCTCTTTGATCATAACTTTATTGAATATAACGTTGGAAGAGAAATACCCTTTAACCAAAGGCATGTAAGGTGACAGATTTTTAGAGAAAGAGAGACCGGTTCTTCCCAGGTCCTAAGACAACTCTGCTCACTGCAACGTTTCTGACTCGGATCAAGGATACTGCAGTGACGCTGTACCATAGCCCGGAGAACGCTGACCTCTGTATTGTTTAGGAGGTTCATTATCTTTTCTTTTCTTTTTTTTTAACCCTGGTGGCACTTTGGGTCAGGTACTGGGCTGCTAACTGCAAGGTTGGCAGTTCAAATCCTCCAGGGAAGAGAAAGATGAGGCTGTCTGACCCTGTATAGATTTGCAATCTCAGAAATTCTATGTAGGGTCACTACAAGTTGGAATCGACTCAATGGCACTAGATTGGTGTTTTTTATGTTCATTGGCTTCATCCAACAGCAAGTAGATGAAGTGGTGAAAAAAATTTGTGAGACAGAGAAATAGTTATCAGTGTAGCTTGCAATTTCCTGCTTGGAATGTAACCATGCACAGCACCTGTGTTCATACCTGCAATCTCAGGATGCTTCAGCAAGAGCAAGAGTCCGTATCGGATGGTGGTGCTCGTTGTTTCAGTTCCCGCACTAAACACATCCCATACTGTAATGACTAGGTTGTCCATGGTGAATTGGGACTGTTTATTGTGTTTCTCCTAGCAATGATGTGTCACAATTAATTGATAAATAAAAATCCTTAGAAGTAATATACAAAAGCACAACATAACATCAAAATTTGGCAAATTAAACCAGACATAGATAGTTCTATAGCTGAATGTAAAGGTAGATGAGTTGTTAAGATTCCTTCAGAGTGCAAGACATAACAGGAGTTAAAATTTTCCAATAAGTCTTTTTTTGATTTGTCACTGTCTCACCCTGTAGGAACAATTGTTAGCTGCCTGCCTTCAAGTTGGTCCCCGACTGATGACAATCTCATGCACAAGGGGATCAGACTGTTGTGACATGGAGTTTCACTGGCTGAATTGCTAGGCCTTTCTTTCTAGGCTATCTTAGTGAGGAAACATGGCTGAAACCAGGTCAGCATCATGTTGTTGTTGTTAAGTACCGTGGAGTTAGTTCTGACTCATAGCGACCCTATACAGGGTTTCCGAGGCTGTGAATCTTTACAGAAGCAGAAAGCCTCATCTTTCTCCTGTGGAATGGCTGGTAGTTTCGAACTGCTGACCTTGAGGTTAGCAGCCCAATTCGTAACCACTATGCTATCAGGTCAGCATCATAGTAACACACAAAGCTTACTGACAAACAAATTGTACCTATGCCTGAGGTATATGGGCAAAGAATTGACCCCTGCTCTCCCCTGTAAAAGGTCATAATTCTACCAAAGAAGCACCACTGCCCTTGTAGAGTCCAATAACTCCTCTGTAACTTATTTTAAGCAATTTTTATCAGATCACTAATCTCTTTCAATTCTAACATAATTATCTTTTTTATCAGCTGTGAATGTGTCATTCAAGTCTCTACAACTACACAAACTGCACCACTATTCCCAACTGCATCATTCCAGACTTGTTTGTTGTTACACCCACCACAATTCCTCAATTCCAATCAATATAGACTTTTTGAAAATCCCACACAATTGATCACGGCGCTTACGAAGATCTTCTTAAGTGTTGTTAAAAGTGAGCCCTTTTGGATTCCAGTTCATTCTCATGTTGCCTCATTTGTTACATCTTCCATTCATTTCCATACTTAACATGGAACTCATTTTAAGTACAATGACATCCCAATTATCACTATTCTTGAATATATAAATGTGTTTGTGTGTATACTCTTTTCAGTCTGCCTCCAAATAAAGAATTAGCTTTCCTGTAGCAATTTTTTAAAATCTTCTAATTTTCAGTGAGAATTTAGAAATTTTCCAAACATCAAATATGGTTTGTATACACAATAGATTGAACTAGCAATTCATATGTCTTTGGAAGGAGCATTTGCTCTAATATTCAGATTTCAATAGGAAGAACAAAGCACATCATCCCCAAAGATGAAGTAGCAAATCAGAATTCACACTGTACCTGTTCCATTTTAATCAGAAAGTAGTCAATAAAGTCCCGAGGATTACTGAGATCCAAGGATTTTTGGTGTTCTTTTATTCTCTCTAAAATAAACTTTTTTTGGTCCATGACATTCTTAAATAATTTGTTATGACATCCTGGAAGATAATGTATCAGGGAAGGAAAAGTATTGTAGAGCTGAAAGAGGAAAGAAACATTCATTAATTCACTCAGTAAACATATACAGGCCCATAACATGGATCAGATACTTTGCTGCATGCTGAGTAGATAAAGATGAGTAAACTGTGCTTCTTGTTCTAGAACATTCTTAGAATTTGAAGGAAAGGGCACTGGAAAGATGAGGTAGCATATAAACAATTTACAAGACAATCTCAGAACTATTTTAATTTATTTACTGTAACTCTCTGCAGGAATTCAGGAACATACCACAGTAGTCATCTCTTTCTAAATGGGAATATTGATGTTAGAAAAGCTACTCAACAATTCTAAAACACCAAACTAGTCATACGGCAGCTTAACCACAGGGTTCTATCTATCCTAGTAAATCATAAGGTGTTTCTTGAGGGGCTAACCTAAATAGTATCAGAGCTCATTCCTTCTTTTGTAATGAAGACTCAGTGCATCAGAAAGTTTAAAGAAGTGCACAAATCCTGTGTCTTAATTTTATGTAGACATTTTACACTCTCATTTGGCCATTGAGAGTCCTAGAGCTCACTGCCTCTGCTTAGACACCAAAGCAATTTATTCAACTTGCAACAAACTAGATGCCAAGTCAAGAAATCTAGAGTCTAGGTCTGTTCCATTCCTGTTTTAGCAAGGCTACTTTAGATAATATTCCTAATAACTTTAGGTCACAGTGTCCTATTTAAAAACTGAGGGAATAGACTACTCATTTCCAAAGGTCCTTTCCAGCTGAAACACATCAAAATGTCATGATTCGTGCAGAATTTTAGTTCTTAATTACTGCACAACATAGGTTACTAGCATGTTCTCTCTGTGCACCAAAGTAAGAAATACATATGACATCACCATCCTGTACACCTAAATGACAGTAAGTCCAAAAGGACTGTTATTAGGGTCCCAGTTCATATATACAGGGTAGTTTATTCCAAACATAACATGTTTAAACATGTCTCTGTGCTCAGTGTTTTACTGCAGACATGTTCTTTTAGTGACACACTTGACTTTTAAGGAGACCTGATCATCCTGCAGGATATTCAAACCCATTAACCACTCCATGGGTGAAAGATGAAGCTTTCTGCTCCTGTAAATGTTTACAGGCTCAGAAATTCTATTCAGGGTTTCTATCAGTCAGATCACTCTATGGCAGTGGGTTTGGGTTTGGCTAGCATCCAATCAAAACAGATGGTATCTGCTTGGCCAGTTCAATCGAAGACAGAGAAGTCAACTCAGAAGGTTATGGCCACTGTTTGGGAGACTGCAGAGGGGTAATCGTGACAGATTTTCTCAAAGGACACAGGATGATCACTGGAGTCTATCATAAAGAAGTCTTAAGAACACTGCATGTGTAAGAAGATGGCCAGAAAAACTGTGCCGAGGAATAGTTTTCCATCATGCCAATCCATCTGCTCATTCTTTGAGGATAGTAAGGGCTGTCCTACAACAGTTCCATTTGGAAAGCTTACCCCATCTCCCCACAGTATCCTCTCCAGTAAAAGATCCTCCTTTAAAAGTTTTGGGATCCTACTTTGGTGAGTAGCATCTGGTATCTTAAAAGCTCATAAGCTAATAGTTAATCTTACAGTCCAGGAACAGAGGACACTAGGACCATCAAAGGAGACGAGCACAAGCGGAATGTGGGACCCTGTCCAGAGAAGCAGCAACACCAGAGATGGAGACAGAGATGAGGGTGTGGAGAGAGAGATCAGCGAGGACTCTAGACTCATGGAAAGAGGAAAGCTGTGTGTTGACAGCCAGATGCACGTGGCCAGGGGACAGGTTTGCAGAATGTGTCCTTTGGCTGTTTAAATGATTATATATTCCTGAGCGTTTTGGTGTACATCTCCCCCTCCCTAAAAACAAAAACCAGAGGGAATAGAAGCAAATCCTGTTGAATGATTATGCACAGAGAAGATCGTAATTATTACAATGAAACAGTGAGTGTAAAACCAATTTTCACCCATGTCAACTAATTACTCAATTCACAATAACAACTTAAAAAAAAAGGCTCATGAGCAGCCGTCTAAGGTGCAGCTATTGTTCTCTCCATGTGTGGAAGAAAGGAGAATGATGAGAATTGAAGATGCTTGGAATCAACTAGTCCAATAGACTAGTGAAGCATAAGCATCAGTCTCCGTGACTGTATGCCCGAACTAGATGGTGCTCAGTCCCGCTACCAACTATTCTGAAAGGGATCATATTAGAAGGGCTTGGATATAGTGACAGAAAATGTGAAACAAAACTCAATTTTTATTCTAAGCCAGATAGAGACTGGAGAAACCTGAGACTATGGCCCTCGACCACCCTTCAGGCCTGGAAAGAATTCACCCTTTTTCAGCCAAGCTGTAGATAGGTATATAGGGGAAACAAAAACACTAGTAAGCTATGCTCACTATGCATTCATAGAATGGTCAATCATCCCAACTCAAAAGGACACGTTTACCTGAGGACAAAGTTGAGAAGGGATGGGAAAGTGGGTGGAATGTCATTAGGAACCACAGGGAGAAAGCAAGAGAGCTGTTATTGCATGGAAGGAATTGCAATCCATGAGATGAAACAAGTGCTGAATAGAAAACTGATGCTCTTGTCTGTAAACATTCATTCAATTTACAACAAAAAGTTTACCAAATAAAATTAACGTTTGGCGGGGAGGGAAGTCCCTATTTCCAAATATGATTCTTTTTACAGGTAACAAAATTAGAACTTTCACATATCTTTTGAGGGTACACAATTTAACCCATAACAAATGATTTCTCAAAATAAGACCTTAATGTAATTCTAATATTCGATCTTTATTTCTAGACTACTTAAACCACGTTTTAAATTTTACTGATTTGATATTTCACTAGTGAGCTACACATGATAGTTTAAAACACTGCACATGCCATTTACAGGGATGGGGTAAGCCTAAGCAAAAGACTTGCTAAAAAAAGTATTTACTGTTTCACAATTTTAAGAGAATTTCAGCCTCACCTGTATCCAGGGGGTGCTTACAATTTCAAGGTTTTCATGAAAATGCATCATCAAGGTTTTTAATTTGTCATCACTGTAGTCAAATCGATTTTGGAAAATGATGGAGCTAATTACATTGCAGGGGACACAGCCCAGGAGAAAAGTCGGGTCACAGGGAGATTCTAAAAACAATGAAAGTTTAAACTTATAATTTTCATATAAATCTTAAATTGATTGTTTAAAATGACAGAGAAGGGCTAATTTTTAGGATTTTTTGAGAGTAAGAACTACCTGCACTTCACCATCATAACAATGCATTGAACATATCTAAAATAAAATTTATTCTGTTTCCCCAAACAGAACTGTCTCATCAGGTCAAGATTATTAGTTTTTACCAAGTGCCCTCCCATTGACACCATTCTCCAGCTAAGAACTGTCAGCTAATTCCCAAAAAGAAAATAAATAAAAGAAGTTATTTAAAAATATCTTTTAAGTGTGTGGAGCTCAGCTTCTAGTGCCCACAGAAAACTGGGCAGCCTAACTAGGAAATCAGGAGACTGTGGAGACCTGAAGTCATATATTGCAAAACACAATAGTGCTCTCCTTGTAAAAGAGAAGAATAATAAGAAAAAAATTGGAGTTAGAGTCAGATATTTTAAGAAATATGTTGAAGCATGGGAAATAAGCTTCATATTTATAATAAAGAATGTGGCTTGATTTTTTTATGTTTGATTGTTAACAGTTTTGAGATCTCATACTCGCTCTTCCCCTTCCATCCAAACCTGAGGAATCAGATTTCAAAGCCTGGATGGTCCCTCCTTTACTGTCAACAGAAAGTTCAAAGCACACAAGTCCCAGTCTGGACACAGGAACCCTCACCTCAGTCCATTCCCTAATCACCCCATAAAAGCCCCAGGTCCGTGTGGGGATCACCCTGCTCTCCAGGGAAAGCTTCAGAATGCCAGTTATAAACCTTTCCCTACCCTGATGGGGTGTGTGTGTGTGTGTGTGTGTGTGTGTGTGTGTGTATGTGTGTGGCATCTGAACCAGTGTTTTGGTATGAGAGATCTATTCATGGTGAAGACCCAAACAATGTAACTCCAAGAGAAAACCAGCCAGGGACAAAAGTAGGAAATACAAGGGGGAGAAAGGCGCTGTTCAACACGTGAAAGAAACTTCCAACAGTTAGAGTTATCCAGTTTTGAAAAGGGTGATTTCCCACAGTAAAGTGGAATCAAACAAAGAGAGACTGGTTGATCACAGGTCAGGAAGCTTAAGAGGATTTACTCACTACGGGGAAAATTAAATCAGTTACTTTATTTCAATCATCTGTGATCAAAGCAATAGTTCATATAATTTAAATGAAAATTCATAAAGAAACCTAGCCAGATCTGCTGTGACTAAAGGGAAGGTTTTTGTTTTTTAAAAAATACATAATCCCCTAAGGAGTCTTGGTGTGGCTCTGTGGGTTAATGCCCCAGACTGCAAAGCCATTTGAACTGCAAAATCGGCAATTCAAGTTTCCCACCAGTCACTATGGGTTGGAATCTACTCAATGGCACTTAACAACAATAACAACAAGGCCTCTAAGAGCAAATCTGGGAAACATTTACCTAGATGTTCTTTAAACACTCAATCAACAAGTTCTGAGCAATTAAAAAATCAGTCTCATAAACAAATGAATTATCAAATGGTAGATGCTATGGAGAGTCTCCCAATTCATGGCATTCTTGAGATAAGATAAATACTTATATATATTAAGTAATTTGAGGAACTGTCCTCCATGATCAGTGTGAAACCAGAACCATATCTGGACCTGTACAAACATCCTCATGGTTTGCCAAAGCATAGCAAAGTTGTAACACATTCACTAATTGGACACTTTTAAATGTATATGTTTAATAAAACATTGTTGTATAAAAACTCCAGTCAGTCACGGTCCTTGTTACCCAGGAGTCAATATGAACATCGTGTGAAGTAAAGTAAAGCATCAGCAAAAATGAGGGAAATCCTTCCTTAGATGGTCTGACTCAGCGACTGTGAGGAGGGTGCAGGACTAGGCAATGGCTTTTTTGTTCTGCTGTATGTGGAGGGGCCAATATTCAGAGCTGACTTGATGGCAACTAATAATAACAAACCCACTTGGTAGATGATTTTCATGGATATCATACATGTGTATGAAAATGACGGTGGTATTCATAAAAATAAGTAAAATCATGAGGAATGAACTCATCCACTTAAATATCAAGAACGATATAAGGAAAAATAAGGTTCTTTTAATGAAATTTTTACTAAAGAGAATTCTCAAGTTTCTGAGATTTCTACTCCACAGTGAGTCAAACAAATATGCATGACATTTCAGAGGGGTAAAAATGGGACTGATTTTGTACTGAACAATCATTGTTTTCCATACTACTTGCATTGTCTCTCTGCCATTGTTCTGATAATGTTTATTATTGTACCATTAATAATAGAGTAAGAATGAAAGCCATACTTACTCCTGGGAAGCTTTGATAGGGACACAGAAGTCATTCTTTAGTCATCTGTTTTTGCCTCTTTCTTTAAACAACCCTAGAGACACTTCCCAAGAAAACAGAGAAGCTACAAAATAACTTAAAAACTACAATGGCCAATAATCATGACTTTGTCCCTGTCCAATGGTCACTATCACTTGTTGCAATCACGGTATCTAATTGAAGCTCAGATGAAAATGTTCCTGATTATGTCTGCTTACTGTCTGGGCAGTTGGAACTTTACCCTTTGCTTTCCAATGCAACAAAACCTAGTAGAGAGGTGTCAGCTTGAATGTTCTCTACTTGCATTTTCTTAAAAACTGCCCAAACACCTACCAAATGTCAGTGCTTTGAGATAAATAAAATTTTACTAATATGAGGGTGCTTCAAAGAGTTTGTGAAAAAAATACAATTAAAAGATGATTTTTCCATAAATTTTTGAAACACCCTTCTCAACACATAATTATCTTAGTACCTTAGTGGCTTTGATCCTCACTGATGTTACTGTAATTCATCAGAATTTTAATGCATAACAATGTATGTGATTATTTGATGCTCAGTAATCATTGTTCAACAAAAATATACATTATACATATACACATACGATGAAGAGTAACTACATACCACACACATCTGTAAGACAATTTTGCTTGAAATGAAAATTAAGTACATAATTATCATTCCTCAGATAATATGTATCAAAGCCCAGTACACACATTGATTCACAAATTTCATTTTCAAAGTTTTATGTGTAGAAAGTAGTCAAAGATCTGTGATGACTTATATGCATATCCAAATATATTATATATATATATATATATATATATTAAATACAGGAAAAACTGGAAACAACTTTTCTTTCTACAAACAAAAGACTGGTTAGAGACATGGTTAAATCAAAAAGTATTATTTTAGTCTGTTATACTATTTAATCTACCCAAGCTATTACTGAAAATTGCAGAAAGATAGGCTCACCATTGGTTTTCTTTAATGCTTCCACCAGACACAAGGCCTCCTCTTGAACTCGGTCTTCAATAGTCTTTTTTCCCATCCCCATATTCCGCAGAACCATTAGGGAGAAGCGCCGGGTTTGCTTCCATGTTTCTCCATTGCTGAAAACAATCCCTTCAAGGAGAGAAACAGATGAATATTCTCCACTGACATGGGTTCTAGGTAGGAGTCCTTATCTCATAAAATGATACTGACATTCAAATAGGAATGTAAATGCAATGGTTTCAGCCTTGGGGGTTCTCATTAATTTCTACCATATCTGCCTCTTCTGTTAATTTAGTCCAAGATTTTACACTGAACTCTTCTTCATGCATTAGTTCCTCTGACTCTCAGAATAACTATGTGAAGCAAATCGTCTTACCCATGAGGATGCAAAAGATCATGGAGAAAATACGTTTGATCTAAGATCACAGCTAGTAACTCATGCTGCGTGCTGGCCATAGATTGAACGTTCAGGGCTGACATTTCTGCACCGCAAGTTTATTGTAGGAGACGCAACAAGAGGCGTCAGTTCTTAAGAGGAAATGAAACAGCTGTCTGTCTTGGAAGCTGGCTCATGACCACATATTTATTCCTCAGATAAGGAACATAGTCCTTGAAAGACAGAACCTCTCATTTTAACATTTCCCCAGTGTTTGTTTAAATTCTTTCATGAAAAAGCGGTCTTGGCACAAGGGAGTTGAATATCAGAGTTCCAGAGTCAAAAAAGTTTTCCAGGAAGCGTCTTAGAGAACAAAAGGACCCCATATAGACCTTATTTCTCCTTAGCAAAGCCAGTGACTCACTGGAGAACTGGACAGTTTAAGATGGTTTAAGTACTTAATTAAAAGGTTTTTTTCTAATATCAATTCCAATTCACATTTACTATATATTTCTCTATGAATCTTTTCTCAAAGGATATCTGTGTTTAGTATGCTAATCAATTTCAATATGTCCTATGTTTTATTTGTTGTTGTTGTTGTTAAGTGTTGTTGAGTCAGTTCTGATTCATAGCCACCCTGTATAGTGTTTCCATGGAGTGGCTTGGTGGTTTTGAACGTTGACCTTGCAGTTAGCAGTCCAGTGCCACAAAATTGGGGGCAAAGATGAAAATATGTCAAATCAATGTCTCTTGATTTGATTAGTAGTCATTTTTCTACCTATCTTTTCATCTCTTCCTGCTCTTACCTTCTCCATAAATTTCTTTCCCTCTGTCTCTGTCCCTGTCTCTTTCTCCTTTTCTTCACTGTCCATAATTTAAAATGAGCATGTCTTAATCACAAATTCATGGAACAATCCTGTTTATATGGTCTGCTTTCACTGAACTTGGTATTTCAGAGGGCTATTGTGTCACCCTCAGAGATTTTAAATATGGATTAATGATCCTTTGTAGAAAAATTGCTCATAGCTTTATGTGAGAATTGTAAAATCTATTTTCATAAACTTTTAAAAATGCTTATAGTGTCTCATTTGCATGGTCTATTTGGAGCGTTTACAAATTACCACCTCATACATTCCCCAAAGAAAAGCATACCTAAATGCTGGGTGATCTTGTCACTCACTGGGAAACTTCCTCTGCCTGAAAACTCCTCTGCTCGATCAAACAAGGCTTCCTTGACTGCTTCATAGCCATATAATACCACAGTGGGCGTCATACCAAAATGCAGAGTATACACAGGACCATAATCTTTTGCTAGCTGGAAAGTAAAAGGAAATGCAAGAATGTGAGCATTTCAAAATAAAATGCAGGTAAGTGAGGGAAGTGTTTTCAATTGTGCTGCAGAGACATTTTAATATTTCATCCACCCCTTAGAAAATATTTCAACTTTTAGAATCAGTAACATTATTGAAATGGGCATTCCTTTATTGTTGCTACTATTATCATCATTGTCAGTTATGATCTTTTATACAGCTTCTAGTATGTGACAAGGCCAATAGTAAGCATATTTGTCTTGTTCTTTTAATAACTTTTTCTTCAAGCTTTCTACTTTAACTACACCAGCTTTCCCTTTCCTTCCAGCAGATACAGTAATGATGTGTTTCTCCTCCTATTTAAGGAGGGTCCTTCCATCTTTCTCAAGTTAGTCTCAGAATTACCTCTTACTCTCCACTTTCCATTCCCACTTTGTATTGCCAGAGCCCTCCCAGTGTGAATAATACATGGCAACTTAGCCCCAGACATTCTCAAGCTTCCCTTGATGGCTGTTGTTAAGTGCCTTCCAGTCAATTCTGACCCATAGCGACCCTGTGTAGGGTTTCCAAGGAGCAGCTGGTGAGCTTGAACCATTGACCTTGCAGTTCAAACGACTTTGCTGTCTGACGCATTAGCCCTCAGCGCCACACCAGGACTCCTCCCTTGATGGTAGATATGGCCATATGGCAAGTTTTCATGAACTGATGTTAGCAGAAGTGATGTATGAAATTTCTACATCATTGCATAAAAAGTCATTGCTTACTCAGAAAAAGAGAGTGTAATCAGCGTCACTGAGATGTACATGTAGAGACTGAATTGGTTTTGATGTGTGTATTCTTAGCAACAAAACAAGTAAAGGTTTTAAAAGGGCATTTTCTACCCAGGGGTGGAAATGATAAAATGGATATGACCTCACTGTGACCATGTCTAGGGATAGATACATCATGGTAGGAAATAAGATTGAAAACGCTGGTGATTTGAATTACATCATGGAGGAGAGGTCCCAGTACTCAGTTCTGAATGTTTTTAAGAGCGAGAAAGAAGTTTCTATCTTTTTTGGAATTATTATATAATTGGGGTCTTTCTCTCATGATACTTTCTTCAGCCAGTACCCTAAATTATACAGGACTTAGACCCTTAGACCTCTCCAATGTTTCCACCCTTCAATCCGTTCTTTTTTGTGGGTGAAGAACACGGTCTTTATCGTTCTGTGGTGAAAGCTCTTGGTGGGGAGGCTTCTCTTCCTCTTCACCAGCACCGGCTTCTGGCTGCGCAGGATGGCACTAGCTCTGCGGATTGCCGCTATAGGCGGATCAGGCCGGTACTTGTTCTTGCGGATGCTGTTCGTGCCGGATGCTGCTGAGCGTGGCGCGGGCAATCTTGTTAATGGTGGTCCGCACGTAGGAGGTGGCCGGTTTCCGCTGGCTTGACCTCCACTTCAAGACCACCACAAACCCTTTGCCATCAGCAGCCGGCTTCACACCCACAGTCTTGTGGTGTATCAGCCCTTTGTAGCGGAAGGAGTTGCGAAGCTTTAAGTTATTACGCTTGGTGCCGTATGTCTGCTTGTTCAGGAAACTGGAGCAGTTCTTTACGACCATCCGTTGCAGATGCACGGACATGGCAGCATCTCCTGTCCCTGCGACTGCTGGAGACGGAAAGAGCTGCAATCCATTCTTAAAGCAACCAGAGTTAGCTTGGCACTGTTTGAAGCACTTGAATGACATTGGGTTGTTCTTGTGACAAACACCAGTAGTCTTAAAATCCTAATTAACCCTCATCTTCTGACCCTTGCTTACCTCTTCAATTTTATCTTGCATAATGGTTTAACTTGGATTCCTGGTGTGGCGCTGTGGGTTAATGTGCCAGACTGCAAAGCCATTTGAACTGCAAGGTTGGCGGTTCAAGCTCACCAGCTGCTCCTAGGAAACCCTATCTAGGGTCGCTATGGGTCAGAATCGACTCGATGGCACTTAACAACGACAAAATGCTTTAACTTACTCTCTGGGCAACAATCACATTGGTCCTCTTTCAGGGTCTCTTACAAGCAACTGTCCCCCAGACTGAAAACAGTTGGAGCCAAATTATATCTACATTCCATGTGGTTAGTACCTAGTCATTTCTTAGGTCTCAGCTTCACTTTACTTCCTCAAAGAACCCTTGATAACTGCTCTCCACACCTGCAATCTCCCAAGCTACATGGCTTAGTTCTACACTTCCCTGCTACATTGTTTGAGTCTTGTATATATAGTTATATATTTCTAATTGCATATCTAACTGCATGATTGCTTCATAAATATGTCGCCCATAGTAGAACAAAAGTTCCATGATGCTGCGGTCATTTCTTGTTCTTTCATCATTTATAATCCCCAGCAACTAGCATAATGCCTAGTACAAAACAGTATTAAATTACTAGTTGGATATAAAATATACTCAAAATAATTACCATTCTAATTTTAAAGGAATAAAAATTAAAGCTCAGAGAAATTTTAAAACTTGCCCAATGCCAAAAGTTAGTAAGTGAATAAGCTGAAGTACAAACACTTTCTCTTTCAATCCAGACCCCAGAACACAAGACAAAGAAATGAAAATGGGCAGTGCTCTGGTAACGAGCTGTCTCAGGGAAAAGACAGATTTTGGCTGCTTCCTTCAGTCTTCTGCCAATCTGGTGTGGCACTGTAGACTCAGCACAGGACTGTGAACCACAGGTTAGCAGTCAGAACCATCAGCTGCCCTGCAGAAACCCTATGCAGGGTTGCTATATGTTGGAACCGACTCCGATGACACTTAACAACAGCAACATTCTACGTGGAATCATATTGACAGCAGTAACTCAAAAGCTTAGATAGGAAACTTAGGGAACAGTGAGTTTATGTTATTGAGGAACAATTCAGAAGAAGGTGGGAAGGGTTGCATAACTTAAAGAATCTAATTAACGTCACTAAAGTGTTCATGTAGAAATTGTTGAATTTGTGTGCGTTCTGTTGTGTATTTTCTCAACAATAATAACAAAAAGTAAAATTAATTGACAAAAAGTTATCTCTATGTAAATAGCTAAGAATAGAGCAGTTATTGACCTATTCATACAACAAATAAAATAGCAACTTTGAAAATGATCTCTATTATTCCCTTGACTTCAAATCAATGTGTCTTTAGGAAAATTTTAGTGTTGTGAATTTCCAAATTAGATTTGGAATATTTTTAAATTGAAAGCAGCTTTACTTCCATTGTTGTTATTGTTGTTGTTGTTAAGTG